TGCCCCAGTGCCTGCTGGAGGCGATGCCAACCTCAAAGGCTGCCCAGAGCCTCCATGGGCACTTCTGGCAGAGGGACATGGCAGGAGTTCAGCCTCCTGGAGAAGCCACCCTGCCTGTCTGCGTGAGCAGGGCTGGAGGCAGCATAAACCTGATCTTTTCTTTCTCTTCAAAGCATTTAGCATCCCCATTACGCACAGTCCGAGGCACGCGATCCAGGACGTTGCTGTGCCTCTGTTTCTTCAGCTGTTGCATGGGGATATTATTATGCGCTTGTCTCAGATGCTGAGAGGGTTAATTAATTATGTTTATGAAACCCTTTGAGATTCTCAGATGAAAGGTGGCTTTGGAATTGTTAGGTGTTATTATAAGAAAAAAAGAATGATTTTATTGCTTTATGTTAATGGTTAACATCTGCACCACAAAACCTGCTTGATCACATAAAGATTCTGCTAAGCATTTAATCCTAATTTGCAGGCTGATGCATATTCATTTTATTTAGAAGATTAATTTAGTCATCAAAGGTTAATCTGCCTCGGGTTTGTAATTAGACAGAGCAGTGACTTGGTGTCTCTGGGCTCACCCAGGTTGCTCTGGGTTTTCTGAGTGGGCAGAGCTGTAACTGTCACGTTTTCACTTCCAGGTAGTGCTCAGAGTGGGCTTAATTTGTGGAGAAATGGTGAGTGGTAAAAGCCTTGGCCAGTTTGAAGATTAAAAATAAAAGGAGAGGCACAAGCCAATGAACAGTCAATATAGTGAATCTGAGAATGCTGCTTTGATTTATCCCTGGCAGGTTTACTCAATGTGATGTCAGGGGAATAAGCAAGGGATTTTTTTGTATGAACATGTAGAACTGATTTAGCAGATTTCACAATCTTTGCTGTATGAATCCTGCCCCTCTTTCAAAATTACTGATTAGCAGTGTACAGAAAGTTTCTGAACTAAAAAACTGTGAGGCTTTCTGCTGAAAAATCTCAGATTTTAACTTTTAGCTCATGTTAGGAGACATTGTTGAGAGGTCATAAAATGTGACCTGTAGCTGCTTGTTCTCCTGAAAATTAATCCTTTTGTGCTTAAGTTTGGCTCCTTTAATCAGAAGTCACTAAAGAAAATGTGATCCTTGTGGAGAATGAAAATCATGTTTCCTTTGCAGGTCCACCAGAAGGCACCTTTAATTACTGTTTATAAAGCTGGCTGTTACTAAGTGTGAAGGATTATTAGTGCCAGGTATTGTCTTTTGAAGTGAGGAAGAGCAGTGGCTGCCTCTGTCATGTGCTCATGGCTTTTCCCTTGTGTAAGGAAAGGGGAGGGTGATACCAGAGGGTGTGTGCTGTGCCTCAGCACAGCGTGAGGCAGCCAGGTGGCCTCCAGAAATCTGGGGTGGGACACCAGGGAGGCTGGGGACGAGCTCATCCTCACTGTCAGGGTTGTCAGAGGGCAGCTCTGAGCCTTGGGGATGAAGCTCACGCAGGGCAGGACATTGGGAGCTTGGAATGGGGGACAGAGCTGGGAAATGGCAGAGGAAAACCTCGCAGATGGAAAATTTGTCCCAAAAGCAGCGGTTTGCCCAACGTGAAATCAATACGTGCTACAAAATAAGTGCTGTAAATGAAAATCATGATACTAGAATTTAGGAATTTGGCCAAAGCTTTACATTTCATTGCAGCTTGGCTTTGGTTGAGTTTAGAATCCAGATTCCATAGGGGTGGTTGCTCTTTTTCCCCAGCACAGCGCTCACATCTCTATTATGATTTGCCAATTTTCCCCTCCTCTTTCTGGTGCAGAACCTCAGAAGCATCCAAGAAGGGATTTTGGAGACCATAAACAGTTCTTAATTGAGAACAGCCCAGAATCAAGTTAAGTGCTAGCTTGACTACCAGAATATAAATGAAACTCTTTTATTAAAGCATTGTATTTTAATTATTATGAAGAACAAGTGGCCTAACGTGAAAAAGCTTTTAACATAGCAGTTATTTGCTTGATAGCTGATAAGTTAATTTTGGATGGATTATTACAGCTATTGCTTTTGTCTTGTTCACTTTCATTTTTACTTGATCTAATAACTGTTTACTGATTTTCATTTGGGCTCGTGGTGAACTTCTAATTCAATTGGTAATAAATTCAGATTGGTTGAGGCCTGTTATTGCAATCAGGTTTCCTATTTCCAGTTTAAAAGGCCAGTGGAGTTTTGCTGGTGTTTTGAAGGAAATTGGAATTGTTTTGAAACTGATGATTTGCAGAGCTGTTTGCAGGCTGACCAATTGGTAGTCAACAGTAAACACTTCTCTGTTCTTTACAAGAAGGATAACCAAGCATGCAATGAGAGTACGTGATGGCAATTCACTAAAACCAGGAAAAAAAACTCCAAACAGCCAGAGCAGGTGTCACTCTAGTGAAGTACTGAAAAATAATCTCACTCCTGCATTGTTCAAGCCCTTCATTGGTAGCCAAGAGATTGAGAGGAGAATTACACACACGTTTGCTGCAGATTTTAGACAGTTTATGCTGTTTTAGTTCTCTCCTCAACCTGAACCTTTAGTGTCTTCACTTGCATCTTAATCCTGAGCTGATTTGTCTGAATGGAAGACAGGTACCACTGAAATGTGGATTGTGAGCTTCATCTGTCATCCCTGCTGCTGTATCATTGACTTCAGTGAGCTTCCAGAGGAATGAGTCTGGCCCACAAGAGGATGTGAACTGTCAAGATGATAAACCTCTTTCTCATCCATTTGAAATGTTTGTGGGAAAGAATGCCCTAAATATTTAGCAGCTTGTGTAATTTGAGAGGCAATGCAGGGGGTTTTTTAATTTTATTTTTCTCCCTACCTTTCCATTTTCTTTATTAAATAGAGGAAAACCTTGCCTTAGGCCCAGTGTGCTTATGACAGGGAAAAAATATCTGCCAGAATCTCTATTACTGCTCAGGCCTGTATATATTGTTATTGCTCCTGTATTTGTAATAGCAAAAAGTGACTATGTCTCTTATAAAAAATCCTATTTGCAGAAAAATACCCTCCTCCCTCCACTTTTTCCAAACCCAGCACAGTGTGTGAAGAATCCAAGAGCATTTATGTTGGTTCTGTCAATGCAGTGGGGCTCTAAGCAGCATGGATGTAAGTGCTGGGCACGTGTGCTTTGAGTGATGCAGCTCCTGAAAACAGGAGGGAACAGAGATGTTGTAAGCTGGTTTAGCTTCCTCTCCTTTGCATTTTTGTGAGTGCAGCTGCACAGAGAGCATCATTTAAATCTACTGCAGCCCAGCTTGGTTTCTGGTGGACAGAAGAAATAATGTGAGACTTGAGTGCTGCAAACCTTGTATGTCCCCACTGGGGTCACCTATTTCAGCACTTCCAAAGGCAGCCGAGCTGATTGCTTGCTTCAACCACCATCAAAGATCTTGCCCCTTCCTATTTCACTGCAAGGAGCTGCTGTGAGTCAGGCTTGGGTGGAGGGGGGAGATCCTCCACCCAGATTGCCAGCTCAAGCTTGCCAGGCCTTTATCTTGTGTTCTTAGGCAACAGTTAGAGTTCTGCTCCTGGAAGAGCTCAGGGTTACACTCAGAGAAAAGCACAGTCCATCCCCATCAGGCACCAATGCCTGGCTGCTGACTCTTCAGTCCTGGGTGGAGCAGGACCCTGAGGGACCCCCATGTCTGTGCTATAATGGAGCTGGTTTACATTTCATATGTGAAAGGGATGGCACAAGGTTCATGAATATTCTCCCTGGGACTGAGGCTATCCGTGTGTGTTACAATTGCAATTTTCCAGTCTGAGTGAATATGTAAAAATTCACATTTATGCACCATTAAATTTATATGATACTGTCCACAAAATCAACGTTTTGGAGCTTTTAGACCGTTCTTAGCATTTCTCCCTTGTGTAGGGCGACTCTGAAGCAGATTCTCCTTGATTGGGATATCTAGGCAGCAGCTCCCTGGCAGTGTATCCTCCTCTCCAAGAGCTGTGCCAGCTCCAAGACTGGTTGCTGGTGCCTTCAAAGGATGAGAAGTTGGCACCTCCTTTGGCTCCTGTGCAACCCAGTGCTCTTCTTTCCCAGCAGAAAGATCTCTGCTTTCTGCCTTTGCCCTCGCCTAGGGCTGAGATGTCTTTATCACATTTTCCCTGTGGGCACAGGAAGTGATATTATATAAGAAAAAATTTTGCAACCCTATTTCTACTAATCATTGCCACTCCTACTGTAATAACAGACAGATGCAACATACACTATTCATGTTTCTATTATTTTTTGCTACAGTTTGCATGTGTTTTCCATTTAATTGCAGTATATGAATTTCGTATCTCTCATTTTTTCCCTTCTTGCATTTAAAATTGAATTTGATATCTGTGATATACAGATAGGCCTGTGGTAAATTGTTTGATGCACTGTACACTCTTAAGTCTGTGTCTGCAAATCTCTTAAGTGCTCTGAATGTTTTCCAGTTTTGTTGGTGATGCAATAGAATCTGGGATGGTATTGGAGTAGTTTCTGCACAGGGCAGAGGAGTAGCTTGAGCATTTAAAGAAACTTTGCTTGACAACAGTACCAACAACAAAACCAATCACAGCCATTTTTAGTTGTTAGAGAACTCTTTGCACTTTTCTATCTCAAAAAAAAATTGCAAAGGACCTTTCAGGAGGAGAAAACAGAGGTGTACTGCTCAGTGATGACCAGGATATCATCAACAGGGTAGTGACAGCACTGAAATAGGACCCAGATTTTTGTGAATCACCCACTCAGTGGGAAACATAACAATTCAGGCTTGAAGATCTGTGCTGTGTACTTGTCAGATCCTTTCTTTATCAACCTGTATTCCCATGTTTAAATTGAGCATGTTTTAAAACTTGAGAAAGGAGATTTCAGCCCAAGTTTTGCATGAAATAGGCCAGCTGAACTAAAGAGTAACAAAGAAACATTGCTAAATGCTTTTTCCTACATTGAAATAATAGTGGAAATCTTACTAACAGTGGTCTCTGCCTCATCTGTAACTTCCCATGTGTTTCAGAAAGAGTTGAATTTGCTACTTACCAAGAGAAGAAAAACAACACAAGAGTTTGGTGAATGGGCATGCTTTGGATTCACACTGGATCCTGGAAACAGAATTGTCCCCTGTGGATGTAGAAGTATCATGGTAACTCTCCTCAGGTAATAGTCAAGTCTTGTTTTTTTCTAAAGTGCAATGTCTGTCTGCAGTGTGTTCTACAGATCAGTCAATCAGCTAAAAATGACATGATTTTAAAACAATGGGTGGGTGCTTACTTAGTCCACACATAGCTCATAGAGGCTTTGAAGGCTTGATACACTCTATTGAGTAAAAAACTATAAATAAAACAGATTAAAACATCTTTAAATGTGCATTTTGCCATCAAGCTATTCTGTTTGAAAAGAGCTGTGGTGTTTGAGAAAAATTAAACATTGTCAACAACTGTCCAAATACATATTTATGGTTTATGGTGTACAAAAGATATGTCAGTGACAAATACATACATGGTTTATGGTGTACAAAAGATATGTCAGTGACAACTCTTGGGCCCCAACAAGTTTTATTAATTATTCTTTGAATAAAGTATTTTTGGTCACTAAAACACTGCAAGTAGACAGGAGACAGCTAATCACTGGGAGAAATGCTGATTTCAAGGGAACTTGCAATTTACTTCTCCCACAACCTTTAGTAGCAAATGGCAAAATATTGATATGGGGTATATGGAATAGACCTGTAGTTCATACAGGCTTTTAGTACATGTTTGTTCAGCCAGGTGAATAAAAATACATTTCTCTTGGTGAGAGCTCTCCTGGTCAGTTCCAGCTGGGAATGACCAGCATTAGGGCTGTTATCACTGAAGTGTTTCTTCATTACTTGTATGCCATCTAGGACCTGCAGATGTTTTGGTATTCTGAATTCCCTAGACACCCAATATTAGATGATTTCAGTGTCCTAATTCCTGTTCAGTCAATGAGGAGCAGGGTCTGGGGGCTTCTGGCTTTGTTGTTCAATGAAGGGTACAGGGTGATGCTTGAGAGACAAAATTTCTTTAGATAAGAAAGTTCAGAGTAGGGACCTTACTTTCCTGCTTGCCTGTGATGTTATCAAGCAATAATCCTTGTTAAGTAAGGATTAATGTTCAAACATGATCATGCTGATGAAATGTCTTTTTGGCTGCAGAGGAGACCTGGCAGAGTCTCCCTGTGCTGCCTTTGGATGGTTTTATAGTCCTCGTTCACATGAGCCACTTTTCCTGGAAGTGAGGTGGGGGATCATCAGCTTCTCCCACTACCAGGAGGAGCATCTTGGGCTGGGATCTCACCTGCATCTAAGAATAATGCCTTACAAAAGCATCTTTTAGTTGTAAAGCTCCGAAACCAAGTTCTCTGTCAGCTCTAAAGTTGTTTTGGATTTCATCAGCTTGTTTTATCACATGCTAGAGAGTGCCAGTGTTAAGAAGACTTGTCTTAAGCAATCCTCTTAGTGTTCCTGAGAGAGATGGTTATATTTTAAATATAGTGAGTCAATCTGTTGTCCATCTCTTATGGACAACTTGATCAGACCCCATGGGGCAAAGTTAATGGAGTCTTGTAATATCTAAAAAGCCCTTTTAGCAGCAGCACTGTTTATTTTTCGATTGTACTGCTTATTTGCTAATTCCCATCTCATTGCAAAACTTTCTAGGTACTCTGATTTCGTTATCTGACTTGTTAGGAGTGAACATGGCCCTTAAGGACTCCTCTATTTTTGGACAGTTGTCAATTTTACCAATTAAAAGAACGCCTTTGGATGGTTATCAGAATCTGGAGCTGAAAACATGTTTGCAATTACTGATGACATAGCTGTTTCTATTTGCTGCTCTCTCTTTTAATTCCCAAAAGTGATATTTTTTTTGGCAGTAGATATGAGAAAATATGTCACTGTGTATAATTACAAAATGCTGTTCGTTTCTGTCTTGTAACTGTGGGGGGTTCATTGGTACAACACATTTGGTTCCTTCTTGGCTCACTCAACTGCATGACACACATTTAAGTGTATTATTAATTGTCATGTTAATATTCATTATCATGTTAATTTCCATGGAATCATGTAATTCTGCATGCCTCCAAATTTATGTTCAAGGGTATATGCAAGCAGTAAAAAACCTCCACTGAATGGTTTCCTAGAACATTGTAATAAGCCTTAAATAAAATCACCTTCTGAGCATTTTCCTCTAGGACACCTGGGCTTTTCCAACAGACTTTCACCCCGCCATGATCATGGCTACAAAACAAGATTCATTCCTGGCAATGGGCTGTGTACAAAGCTGCTTTAAATGTTCATTGTGCTTTCCACACAATGAATTGTGGAAAAACCAGGTTCAAAATACAAATCCACAGTACTGGCTTTACTTTAATTTCCTAGGTTGCATCTGCCATCTTATCAGAGCAATCTGACTGCACTGAAGAAGCTGCATAATATTTTCAGTGGCCTGGATTTTTCACTTGATATATAACAAATATATGAATAATGGCTCTATAAGTATCTATGAACTCTTCAGAAGATTGTTTTACAAGAGAAAGTTCTACTAGAAACAGTAACTTAGGAAGAGCGAATCTGTGGGATAGGAGGTGAACCTCAATTTAAATGACTGTTGCCTGGAAATTTAAAAGAAAAGTATTGATACAGATATTTTGAGGAGTACAGAGTCCTTAAATCAGTGAGATTTTTTTTGTTGGTTTTGAATGTGTATCAGACTTCCAATGCATGTTGTCTATATAAAAGAAAAGAGGGCACATAATGTCTGAAGTGCTCTATTTTTCCAGAAAATAGGCCCATCTAAGAAAAACTTGTCCATTTTTGAGGCATTAGTTACAAGGTGAGTGCACCTGCTGCAGTTTGTAGATGGGTGGGTTCTTTCCTCTAATCCTGGTGAAGTTTTAGGAGGTTTCAGATATGTTCATTATCTGTTTTTACTTGTCTTTCTCAGAGAACTGCCAGGCTTAGGCAGAAGGGAGGGTGGCTGTGCCTTCTTGCCTGGGCTGGGGGTTGTCACTCTGAGCAGGCCATGGCACGAAACCAGGGTGGGGTCACAGCACTGGGAATTTTATTGTAGAATAAAAATAGCTCCCTGCCAAAGTCCTCAGAGAGGAATGCCTTTCAAGGTCAGTTACACTCCACAATCATCTCAGAACATGCTTGTAAATAAATTGCATGGGCTTAGCTCTGCTGTCATTGACATTTCCCCCCAAGTAAATGCCAGGCCTGCTGTGGAGAAAATTCCACTGACTGAGAGCCCCACACCTGAGCAGGCTTAGAGCTTCTCTTCTCAGCTGGGATTTAGATGTCTCAGTTCTAGGTGGCAGCAAAGCCCTTCTCAAACCCTCTGAGCTGCTTGGGGCACACCTGCCCTGGGTAGTGGAGAGCAGAGGCGCCCGAGTCCCTGCTGCCAGGGCGGCTCTGGGAGCAGCAGGGCTGCAAAATCAGGGCACTGCTGCTCCAACAGGCACTGCTGCTGCTGCTGGGGCTCAGCAGGGCTCTGGGGACAGCTGCCTCTCAGAGACAGCCTGTTTATTTGGGCACAAGTTGCTTATTTTTCTGTGCTGCAGCTGCACTTCCCCGGGTAGGACTCTGCTGCTTCGTGTCTTTCTGTTTGGTGACAGTGTAGGCAGTTTCAGACACAGGTGAACACTTACCAAGCATTTGTGTATTTGCCTACAACAGCTATTACTATTATTATTATTATTATTATTATTATTATTATTATTATTATTATTATTATTATTATTATTATTATTATTATTATTATTATTTAGTCATCATCAGCTTGCATTCAGGAGTCCTAAGTCTTGTTTTAGGATAACAGACCTGCTTGAACACAGGCATTTGGAAGTGTGAATTAATATATTGATAATATGTTAGGAAGGATGTTTTGGAACTTCTTTCTAAACAGAAATTAACATTTTCTCTGAAAATAGTAATGGAAAAAAAAATTGTGTAGTCTAGCAAGGTATATCATTTAGACTTGTTGATAGAATGATTGTTTTCCATCAAGCAAACCAAAGAAGAATCCATAATAAAATTTTACAAGTTAGCTGCCACCAAGAATAAACTCAAGAGCACTATATGAAATGAATTGTGTGTTTTAACTGAATCTTCTCTCAGGACAATAACTCTAATGTAGAGCCAAGGTCTGAAGAGGTCACCTGCAGAAAGCCCTCCTGGGGCATTTCAGAGGAGAAAGGAAATATTCTTCTCCCTGTCAGGTTCACTTCATGTCCTAATATGTCTGAGGATGTGCATTGAAAACATAATCCACAGCCACCATTCTGAGTGGGGCTTTAGATAACAAGGGTCATTAAGGAATCTCTGAGGATGACAAACTTAACCCCGTATGAACTTAAGGACCATATCATGCTACTAATGCAAAGAGTAAGTCTGGTTGATTGTAATTGTGACTGAACTAAAATGTCACTTACCATTAAGATCAATTTCTCTTTTTTTAAGAATTGAAGCACTTCTCTAAAAATATGTGTAAGATCAAAACTGGCATCTATTGAACATAGTCTGCACTGCTCGTTTCCAGTGCTATGTGAGAGAACATCTGGATTTCCATATATTTCCAAATGTTTGCCATATCTCACATTATGTTTGCAGGACCAGGGTGTGGCAATCCAGTGCAGGATCTCAAATTAAAATACCTATTGAGAAACCTCTACATTTGTCATCACAAGCATCCAACTCCACAACTTCTGCTCAGGCCCTTCGGGTGTATCGCGCCTCTTCCTGCCCCCGAAGAGTGACATGTGCTCCCAAAGAATGTGCAGCACTCTGGCTCTGAGCTCAGAACCAGGGGTACTGCTGAGATCTCAGCTTGCTGCCCCTCAGCTGGCTGTGCTGGGGTGAAATGCTCCAAACCTGTTCTCAGGGATTCCCCTGTTGGCTGTGTGGAATGCCAGGATGTTCACATGTTAGGGTGGTTGGCCACTGGAACAGGCTCCCCAGGGCAGTGGTCACAGTCCCAAGCCTGAAGGAGCTCAAAAAGTGTTTGTACAAGCTCTCAGGCACATGTGGGTTTGTTGGGGTGTCCTGTGCAGGGCCAGAAGTTGGGCTTGCTCCTTGTGGGTCCCTCCCAGATCAGCCTGTTCTGTGATTCTGTGGTTCTGTGATTCTGTGTGCCATA